ACGGGCGGTGGTGGTGGCCTTGGTCCTGATGCTACTTGGCCGACCCACTCCTGTCTGTCCGCGGCCCCCCTCCCTTGGCCCCATCGTGTCCCTCCCTCTGTCGGCCCTCTCGCCACTGGCACCCCCTCCACCACCAGCCCCCGCCGCCGCCCTACTATCGGTTCTCTTGGTCCTGTGCTTGGCAGGTCGGTGTGGGGGGTGGAGTGGGTCATGCTCCTTCCTGGGAAGTGGTGTGTCATCGTCTTCAGAGGCGCCTCGTGAGGTGGCGCTGCCGCTGCGCGACCGGTGTGCCAGGCGACACATGGCCGTGTGCTTGGCCAACACCTTGGGCGAGAACCGCGTGTCGCAATGGGGACACAACTCGAAGTCTATCGGCAGACCCGCCGCACCCACACGACGCTGCTGGGCATTGTACCTGCCCGCAACACCACAGCCGCCAAAGACACAAGACACAGGCAGCCAAGCCACCTAACTACTGAGCGGTACTCCCCTTGTTTCTGTGTGGCTGCGGTGCCTACCTTTCTCTGTGTGTGTGTTGGGCGGTGCACTTGTGTTTCTTGAGGGCCTCCTGGTTGAAGCTCCTGCCGCACTTGTCACACATGATGCGGCTGTCCTTCGCTGCCCCGCCCGACGCCTCGGTGGCCGCCACCGACTCGATGATGGCCATAGGGTCCTGCAGGAGGGGACGGATAGGCTCCTCATCAAAGTCACGTACCACCGGGGGAGAGGCGGGGGTGATGGCCGACACACCCATGGCCCCCTGGTCGGCTGGCGTCTGATGGTCAGGCGGTGGGCTGATGCCTCCCAGGCCATAGTCTGGCCCGTCCTCCTTGGGGGACACGTGCAGTGCCGTCTGCTGGGACGCACTCGACCCCGTCCACTCGGATGCTGCGCTCTGGTCAGAGGTCCGCAGGCGGTGCGGCGGCGACTCACCCATCGCTATACCATCATCCTCCTCGTCATGGCCCACCACCGACCCAGCACCACCGCCTCGCGATATGCACACGTCACTCGCAGAGATTGCCGGAGGCGTCACATGGACACCACCGACCGCCGACGGGACACTGTCACGACTCAGACGCCCGCCAGCTTGAGTGTGCATCGAGTCGAGCACCGGCTGCCCCGCTGTCCCTTGTTGTTGCCTCTTGGCCTTGGGTCCGCCTGTGGATCGCAGCCCGGCCAGTCGAGGTGGTGGGGGTGGGGGCGCCTTGATGGGAGCTATTGTGGGCGGCGACCGCTGCCGCCGACCCGGGTGGGGCTGGTGAGGCTGGGAACCGACACTCTCACGTATACTCCCCGCACCGCTCTCTCGCACGTCGCCGGTGGCGGTGTCGCCGTCCAGTCTTGAAGTGGCACTCAGATCCACAAGACGGGCACCTCGGTGGTGGTCCACTGTCGGTGGTGGCCCATTGTCGGACGACGCAGCCTCCAGTGGCGGTGACCACCGCATCGGCTGGAAACGGCCGGGCTGTGTCTTTGACCCACCCACGGCCAGTTGGTCGATGGGAGGTGCCGGTGTGAATCTTGGCTGCCGCAGCCCCTCGACCAGCCCCGGCTTGTTTCTGTGTCGTCTGCGCCTGGCGGCGACGGGCTGGTGCACACCGACGTCATCAGGGAGTCGCCGAGGGTAGAATGTCGTCTGGCTGCGGGACGATGGACAGGGGAAAGGGACGGCGTTGGGGGGAGGACGAGACAACATCCGCAGCCCTCCCAACACGCTGTCGTTGGAGGCCACGCTGTGGGCTATGCTGCGGGCGGTGGCCAGGGGCATGTCCCCCTCACTCACTGTCCCGTCGTCGTCGGCCGACTGCTGGGGGGGCTGCTGCTCGTCTGGTGGTTGATCGGTCAGAGATGGGTCAAGTGGGGCCTGGATGCGATGCTGCAAAATCCCCCCCCTGCTGCTGCGGCGGACATCTGAGCCCCTGATGATGCCATGTAGCGATCCACTGCTGCGATGATAGGCCGACGACCCCGCCCCGCTGGACGGTTGGGGGTGTCGAGGTGGCAAGCCAGACCGACGGTGGGTGGCACCACCAGGGAGCTGGTGGCCCGACGTCAACAGGAGATGGGGACCGTCTTGGGAAGCCATAATGAAGACACTATCATCACTGAGCCACTCGTCGCTGAGCTGCAGGCTGTCCGTCCCGCCCGTCCGCGCCACGCGGTGCACGCTCGCCTCTGTCCCCGTGTAGAACCGGTCGTTGTCGCTAGAGGCAACAGGGGCCGATCCTGAAGCACCACCCTCCTCATCCTGGCCATCCACACGCTCCCCTCCACCACCGCCTGCCGATACTGCTTCAACACCATGGGTAGTATCAGTGCCGCCCGGGAGACCCACAGGGATTGGTGTGTCCACCACCACCCCCGCCTCCTCCCCTGTCTGTCTGGCTGGTGTCTCCCCGGGTGTGACAGGTCTGCCAGCACGAGGCCCCCTGTGTGGTGGGGTGGGTGCGGTGCCCCCTCCCAGTCTGCGTTGGCGTCTGAGGTTCATGAGGTGGCTGTCGGGAGAGGGCCGCAGGTATGGGGTGGCCGTGGGCGGCTGGGGGAAACGATCCTCGTGGTACGTCGACTCGTCAGGCCGAGGGGGGCCTGCAGTCGCTATCTGCAGCCAAGGGACGGCCGGGGGTGGAGAACAGCAAAGCCAGAGAAGCACACGAGGCAAGTTGGTCAGGGAATGTGTTGGTTGTATTGTGTGTGTCTAGTTTAATCTGGTGGCATGGGTTGCTCTGCTCACTCACCCTTTGAGTGCAGTATCGTTGGTGGTCCGCCCACGACGCTTGGGGCACGTCGTTGAGGCACACCTCACACCGACGGCACGACTGCTCGAAGATGCCGACAGCAGGAGGCAGCTCTGCTGCGTTGCCGTCACCCGCTCCACCCCCACTGCCACCCGCACCCCCCGCGCCGCCACGCAGGGGCAATGGGCTCTCGAACAATTGCGAGTCGGGCGGCGGGGCGTCAGAATCGTGAGGGGCGGCCGACCCTCTCTGGTGGTCCATTTGCTGCTCCTGTTGATGTTGGTGGGGGTCACGATCGTCCGGCGGCGTCGGGTGGCGGCCATCCGAGTGCTGGTCCTCGAGGCTGTGGATGGTGGACGGGAGGCCGACGAGGCGACAGAGCACACCCCCTGGGCTGGCCTCATAGTCCACAGAGACCGTCACAGGCTGCGACGGGGCTCCCCGCACACGATCGTCAAAACGCAACCTGGACGTACCAACAGAGAGGAGAGAGGGACGTCTGAACGCCCGCCACCTCGTGTGTACCATGCATGTGATGGATGTATGTATGCATTCATGTATCAATACTGGCAGCTAGCTTAGCTTACGGTCTATCGTAAGTATGTTGCACCACTGTGTCTGGTTGCGGCTCATCCGAATCTACATGCATAGCCTCGCCAGCCGACCAAGGAAGGCCATCTCTGGTATGTGCACCGGACGCAACGGGAGCAGGTTCCGGTGGGGCGGAGAGGCCTCCTCGGCAGTAATGGCTGTCTGCTGCCCTCTCTGTGCCGCTCGACAGGTCTGATTGGGCACCACCCTCCTGCTCCTCCTGCTGCTGCTGGTGCTGATGCTGGTGGTGGTGGTCGTCGTCGTCGTCATGTGGTGGCTTCCCTGGCGGCACGGCTCGGTCAGCGGCCTGGATGTCGATGCCGCCAGAGGGGCTGCTGTCGACGTGGCCATCATCCTCATCATCCGACTCGTCTACTTGCTGCTGGCGAGCTGAGTGGATGAATCAACCAACCAACCACAAACACACAAAAAGAGGCCCGTGGAGCAGTGAGGCGGGAGGTGTGTTTCTTCCTACTTACCCTGCGATTCGGCAAGAATGTCGACGCAGAAGAACCTCGAGGTGGCGCCAGGTTGCATCATGTAATCCTCAGCCAGATCCCTCCGTCACTGTAACAGCACGTTTGAGCAAGGGCGTCACCATACACAAATGGAATGGTGGGAGAGGGTCTTCTGCTGCTCTTCCCACTCCATCCATGCAGTCAGTAATTACAGCAAACACAGACCAGCAGTGCAGCACGACTGGAAGGAAAAGGCCTCACAATTTGCGAGCTTGACGCCAATCCCTGCTTTTGACGTCGCTGCGTCTGTCCCTTTTCTCTGTCTTGTTCTCAACGATCTTCAACGTACGTCCCTATTTAACGCGAGGAGGCATAACACATCGGTCCCTCGCGCAGCGTCTTGGGGCCCAGCCCTCGCAACCAGCAATTGGCAACCAGTGAGTGAGATGCAGACGAGGCAACCATGATAGGTCCAGGTCGGCCCGACACACTTGCTTCAGTTGGTATGTGTGTGTGATGCAGAAAGCTGTTGGTGACACCATTGGCTCGGCTGCCTTCCCTCCCGCCGGGATGATGGAGTCGACGTGCACATCTGATGACTGCGCGGCCCCCGCCCCAAGAGCACCTCTCAAGAAGTGAGTAGGCACAACACACACGCGCGCACACACACAGGCAGAGGAAAGGCAACACAGGCCGCAACACACACAAAGTGAACAACAAGCATCGGAGGTCGTGTGTACCGCGATGGTGTGTGTAGGGAGGAGTTGATCCGTCAAATACCGCAGGGCAAGGGCTTTGAGGACTTCTACTTTGTTGGTCAGTCAGTCAACGAGACACCCAGGGAGGCAGACAGGCTGGCAATGGGCGGGCTGTGTAGGTGGTGTGGTGTGTATGGATGGATGGTGTGGTCGATTGTGTCTGTCCGCTGGCTGGTGCGATGCATTGGTTGGTTGGTTGAATGGGCTGGGCAGGCAACAAGCTCAAGATATGTGCGGACAACCCCAGCTCGACGCGACCCGTACTCAAAGAGGTAGGTCACCACACACACACACACACACACAGAGGCAGAGGAAGGAAGGTCCCATCCGAGCTAAGAGGATGTGCCCAATGGATGTGTGTGTGTGTGTGTGCAGGTGTTGGATGTGCCTACGCTGCGCAGCCGTGTGGTCAAAATCATCAACCGGAGCAGAATACCTGCGAGTGCCGGAGGGGAGAGGTATGTGTGTGCACCGCCCCTCCCACCCACACATATGGCACGGTTGGGGACGGGAGGAGGGGATGGCCGCCGGCACACCACGATACTCCCTCTGTGTGTGTGTATTGTGGGGTGTGTGTGTGTGTGTTGTGTGTCTGTTGTGTGTGTGTGGACAGGCTGTGGCGTCGTTTGTGCGAGCGTTTGTTGGGTCTGGATGAGCATCCCAATTTGATGCGGATCCACGAGGTGCTCGAGTCATGCGAGCACTACTTTATCGTCATGGAGCAGATGCAGGGCGGGGAACTGTTCGACTTCCTACTCAACGAAAGGGCCGTACCAGAGGTATGTAGGTATCCACACTCACACACACACACAGGGGGAGGGGGGCAACAAAGAGGAGACAGCCAGGGGCCCTGCGAGAGAAGTGATGTTTCCTCCCTGCCTGCCTGCCTGCCTGTGTCGGTTGGTGGGTGGTGGTAACTTACGCAGGAGACGTGCAAGTACGTGATGCGTCAGATTCTGCGAGGGGTCGACCACCTGCACTCAAACCACCTGCTGCACAGGCAAGGACGGGCGAGGAAGGGCAGAGAAGCCACACGATCAACCCACCAGTCTACCAGCCGTCAATCAACCCATGTGTGCGTGTGTTATGGATGTCCTATACCTGTCCTCTCTCCTCTCCTGATGTGTGCGCGCGGCCTGCGTGCCTGTGTGGTGCTGTGTGGTGCTGTGTGTATGCATGGTGTGCTGCCTGCCTGTCAGGGATCTGAAGCCTGAGAATCTAATGTTTCGCAACGCCAAGCAGTCTTCGACGAGCGTGACACAGATGTACGAGCTGGCCATCATCGACTTCGACACGTGCAAGATGCTCGACATCGAGTGAGTACTCACTGCACTCAGCTACCTACCCACCTACCAGAGCAGCCTCAGACAGACAGACAGACAGACAGGCTCTTCCTTATGTGTCCTATGCACCCACCCCCGTACGGGCGTGTGTACGTGTTGTGTTGTGTGGGTATGTATTTATGATGGAATCGATCGATGGTATCTATGTATCGGTGTGTGTGTCGGGTCGGGTCGGTGGGTGGAAATACAACTAACGTGTGTGTGTGTGGTGTGGTGCCCATACCATGGGTGCAATGAATGAATGAATGCAGTCCACTGGAGTACAAGGAGGTTGTAAATGGCAAGCGGCGGCTGGTGGGGACGTACGGCTACCTGGCGCCAGAGGTCCTCAAGGGCGCCGAGTACTCCAAGGCATCCGACATGTGGTCCGTCGGCGTCATACTATACATCCTCATGACGGTGCGGTACACACACATACACAGACACATAGATTAGTCAGATTCATTGTAGCCAGCCAGCCATGACAGAAAGATTCTTTATGGATTGGCCTGTCGTGTCTTGTCGTGTGGTGTGTGGTGTTTTGCATTGCAGGGTGTGCCCCCATTACCGATGGACTGCATGAACAGCGCTAAGGAGTCGATTGAAGTGCTCAAAAGGGCTGAAGCGGAAGGGGTAAGACAGACAGACACTAAGGAAGTCAGTCAGACAGCGGGTGGGGAGGCCGGGGGGGAGGGAGAGAGGGACACTTGCTTGCTACGTCCGTGGATCTGACTGCGTACGTACGTACGTACGTACGTGTCTCTCCCCGGCAGATTGACTTCGACCTTTCCCCCCTCCCGGAGTTCCCTCGCTCGCGAGATCTGTGCATGCGCCTGCTGCAGGTACATACATACGCACCTGCGCAAGCCAGCGAGAGTACACAGTCATACTGACGTACACGCACGCATGCGTATACGTATCTTTTCAAACGGTCGATCGTTGACTGACTCTGTCTTTCCATCCATGGGTGCGGCCGTTGGTGTGCCTGCCTGCCTGCCTGCCTGGCTGCCGTTGCATTCCTTGTCAGTTCAACCCAGCGAAGCGCCTGACGGAAACCAAGGAAGCGCTACGACACCCATGGTACCAGAGCCAGGGGCCAGTGTAGCTAGGGAAGCAAACAAGGAAGGAAGGAACCACACGACAGTCAGTCAGCCAGCCAACCACTCGCCACTCATTGATTGATTGATTGATGGGCGGTTCTGTGTTCCGGTTTTTCCTCTGTGTGTGTGTGTGTGTGTGTGTGGTTGGTTGGTTGGGTCATGTGCTCTGATACAGGTTGGTTCAGCGTCAGGTCAAGGCACCGCCGCAGCCCCTGGCCAACGCCATGGAGATTGAGGGCATCAAGCACCACAATCAAAGACCCAGCGGCAGCACCGCGGGTACGTACACACATACATACATACCGAGACACCTACACAAGCACAAACACACACACACACACGCAGTGACTGACCCAGTCCTGGGCTTTAGACAGTCTCGTGTGTGCGTTCTCTGTCTCTGTCTGTGTGTGTGTGTGTGTGTAGATGTAGCGTCGCCGAGCACATCGGGTACGACCCCGTTTGCATCGTGGGACGCCCAGCAGGGTGACAATTTGAGAAGCGGGAGTGGCCACCGGCCGTCAGACATGTCGTCAGCTGTGACCCCCCAGCAGGGCCTCACGCCCGCCCTGCCGTCGCTTTTCCACATCCCCCCTCAAGTCAACATGCCAGTGGCTGCACAGCCCGCCTGTGCCAGTGCCCCTCCCACTAGTGGTGACCAAGACGGGCAGATTAGGGCAGCTGGGGGCAAGACATCAGCCTCCCTCACTCTGCCCGCCAGAGCGTAAGCAAAGCAGCCAAGCCAACACTCGCACTCGCACAAGACGCGTGTGCGTATAGTACACTCACATAGGGATGGATGGCTGCATTTGATTGCAATGAATGATGAATATGTATGTATGTGCATTGGATTGATTGGATGTGATGTCAGGCCCTCCCGCGAGCCGCTCACTCCCCTCACGCCACAGCCGCCGCATCTCTTCTAGCTTCCGCACCGCACCGCACCGCACCCACCTCAGGTACATACCTGTGTGGGTAGGCGAGGCGGGTAGCTACACACATGTTGTCCACCCGTATGTATGTATTGCGTGTGTGTAAACTATATATACATTGCTACCTACCTTCGTGCCTCTCTTTCCCCCTCCCTCCCTCCCTATTGGTCTCCCTGCCATCCCTCCAGGATATGCACATCTGTATGTTCGCCTGTTGATGATGCGATTGAGATCGATGGATGGATGGATGCCTCGTTTTCTGTTTAATGAAGGAAGGAAGTTGATCCATTGAATTCACTACAAACAGAGAGACAGACAGGTCCTGTCCTGGGAACCGTTGGTTGGTTGTTGGTTGTTGGTTGGTTGGTTGGTTGCTTGGCTGGCTGGATGGGTGGGTGGGTGGGGGGTTGCTGCGCCTCTCTCGGCAGGCAAGCAGGCAAGCATTGATCTGTCTCTAACTAAGCGCTTGTCTGCGTGTCTGTCTGTCTGTCTCGCTTCTTGTCTTGTCTCTCCTTTCTCTGCTTGGCTGTTGGTTCAACGTGCCGTGCACCGCACCCTCTGATCTGGAATAGATGGACATACAGCCGCACGGACACACAGACTGGCTGGTGCGCTGGGGAGGGGGGAGTCACTGCATGGAGACTGGCTGCCGGAGACATACACGTTGTGAAACTGGTGATGAAACAACTATTTTCACTGATGTCAACCATTTCGGCGCGCAAGCGGAAGTGTGAGCTAAGAAGCGTTCAAAAAGGAAGATCGTTCCAATGAGACCATTTCTTCGAGTGAGTACAGGGGTAGCCAGGTGCGCGAATGATGTATCCAAGGTGTACCGCGGGCGTCCCAAAACGGTGCTCCGAGGCCTCGTGAGCGGTCATTATCCGCCATCTCAGGGGATTTGCAACACGTTCATCGAGTACTTTGGGAGGCAGCTGAAGCCTCGGCAGGTTGTGCTGGTGCTCAGAGAATGCCATGCGGTGGGGTTGTGTACTTGTGAGGCGACACTGAGAGATCTGCTTCGACGATGCGTGGCGGACCTCAGTGGCGATGAGCTTGCGATGGCGGCCAATGCACTGAGCCGCGCCCGGGACACAGACCGGTACATGAGTCTCGATCCGTACGACGACGACATTGACGAGCCAGCCGCCGTACAGCCGTCCAACCTCCCTGTGAGTGGCCTTCTCTCTGGGGTGGCAGCTGACATCATGGCAGCACTGCCTGGCATGTCGCCGTCGTCTGTTGCTCTCGTTGCTAATGCATTTGCAAGGCTGCAGCTGCGGTCGCCCGATGTGTTCCGCGCTATCGCTGACCGGTGTACACAGGTGGGGAAGGGCAAGGGTGGGGAAGACCACGGCTTAGGACTATCCGACTTCAGCCTTGCGTCAGTGGCGATGATTGCTCATGGCTTCGCCAAACTGCGCATCTACCACCACCGATTCTACAGGGCCTTGCTCAAGACGGTACTGGCCCGGAAGGGCGACGTGTGGAACCTCGGAGAGCTAGCACAATGGTACGCACCACGCACGCAGGGAGGCATGTATATGGGCGGTGAAGCAGCAGTGCACGGTGTGGCTGAGCGTCTTCACACTCGTACTTGGTCATGACACTACATGCATCTGTTGTGCATTTAACTGTCGCCTATTGCCCATCCAGCGTATTCGCGTTTGCCCGGTGAGACCAGCGCAGCCGCGTAGCAGCCATGGTACACCCGCTGGATGTGTATGTCAGGTCTGTCCCCTTCTTGAAGTACTTGGAAGCGCCTGAGAAGGTCGCTTTCCACCCAGGGCTGGATGCTGTATTGACGGGTGTTTGGCGGGGCCTAGCTTGCTACGGAAGCAGCCAACTCTTCGCCGACGATCCCAAGAGGCTGGGTGAGGGCGCTTCTCTTGTCATCCAGGCCATCAGCGTCATCCAACAACGTGATTATGTACGTACGTACCGACGTTATTATGAAAGTACCGGTGCCATGCACTCACTGCAGATCGACACACATGCAGCTAGCCAGCCCTGGTGTATGGTATGCAGGACTGGGTAGTCTGGATCCTTCTTTGGTGGCTCACCGGCCCGTCATATGTTTGCCATTTGTCGAGGAATACCATCGTTACGATTATCGTAGCACTTGGGAAACTGGACTTCACCCCGACACTTTGGAGCGCGGCAGCGAAGTCAGCAGACCTCACACCCAGAAGAGGGGCACACTTTGGGGCGACTGGAGTCGACTCCCTGCTCGACAGGTACAAAGATAGTCATCTGAATGTACCAAGGAAAACAAAAAAGAGTATCTGGCGCCAACATTGTTGTCCTTCAATTCCTGCGCTATGTGTAGGGTCGCAGTCTTGTGGAGACGCAATGGCAAGAGCGTTTTTTCGCTGTCCCAGCTGACTCTACTATGGTATTCCTCACTCTGTCTTCTACACACGCATCCTCACACTACGAAAGGAACCACTCGTTTCGGCGTGGTGATGAGTGTGGCCTTCTTTGATGACACCAAAGAATACCTAGACAAAGGTAGCGACAAGGAGAAACAACTTATACCCTATCGCGCTCTTACTGGCCTTAGCAGGGCGGACGATGACGCGGGATGAAGCGTCTGTCACGGACCGCCAGACCTATCGCAACCCCCTGACTAACACCAGCCTCACACTCCCTACGGCAGACGACCTCAGTCACCCCGTGCATAACGCCATGTATGCCACCCAGGTACCTCAGCTCATCCATAATAAGAGACACCCCTTCAGTAAGTAAACGACCAAAACACACGTTCGCTTGTGTGTTTGTTTGTCTGCCCCGGTTTCCTCGCGTTTCAGGCAGAAATCGGGGTGCAAGCATGGTTTCTCCTCCCCTTGCCAAACGAGGGGCCTGGCATGCCTTTGAGCAAGCTCTGCCCGATCGGCTGTCTTGCAACAGCTATGAAAGTAAGGCAATCACCTCCTGTCTACCCCATCTTTGCGGGCCTCATGTCTCAACCGGTGCATTCAGGTGCATCACTGGTTGACCGACAGTGCCGGCAAGCCGGCGGGTCATGTGAGTGCTCCAGAAGCTGTCGTGAAGGAGAGCGTCTTTAGCCCTACAAGCTCATCCTTTCAAGCCGACGTCGCGAGTATCGTGTCTGAGCTGCTAGCGAGACAGATCCGGCCGACACGTGCAAAACGTGTATCGCTGGAGGAGAGGGTCGGGGCTTTCTATGTTGATGTGGTGGTACTGTCTTCATAGCAAGCTACAGTGGTAACATCGCACCGTGGTCTCTAGTAAAACAACTCGCATGTGTGGCTCACATCAACAACTAGCAACAAACCAAGTCCTGGCCAACAAGCAACACGGCAGCGAATGTCGCCCTGGAAGTGATGATACGACTCTATCCATCACCGAGCTCCCTCCCCTGCCACCATGGACTCTCATTCGCACACACGATGTGCACCTCTTTCTCCCACCGACACGCTATCACCCACGGCGGACTGACTGAGTGACTGACTGACTGCTGGCCAGTCAGAAGGGCGGTTCGCTACATCACCGAACTGTAACAGCAAGGGGATGGAGACAAGACAACACTCCGCGACCCAAGCGATATTGTTGTACCGCTTACTCTCTAGACAAAGCTCCGTTTTGCAAAAAGCCAGCAGCTCTTCCTGTACAACCCAATGCACGAACGGACACATGCGTGCTGTGTCTTGTCTGTTTCCCATGGGCTCTGCGTTCTTCTAACCTGCATCCGGTTGACCTCTGCGTGTGTCAGGCTACGATCAAGTGCCCGATACGTCAATCTGGGGAGAGCAGAGCACAGCAAACAACGTTGAGCGTCAATGATTGCCTTTACACCAGTCAGCTACCTGAAACACAGGCTCTCCCTTCCATCTTTGCGAAACCTATCAACCAGCTGCACATTTTCGATGCAGTCATCACCAACCTCGCGGCACATCTACCACACATACCAATCCGGAGCAGAAAGACATCACTGGCAGTAGAGTCGTCAGTCAAAGCCTTCTTGCCTGGTGAAAGTCTGTCTCAGAGAAGCCAGCGGGCTTCCACAAGCTCACGTCCTTGTATACAGGTGGATAACGACTGAATGGACGAAATGGCCTTATCTGATAAGCAAGAAAGGGATCGGCGATCACCCCATCTCTTGCCCGTTTACCTCTCCAGAAGAGAACTGCTTCCAGAAGCGCTCGTCATCGCTCCAAAAGACTCTGATGTCGTCAACCTACCATGCATCCAGACACAGATGAGCTGTGGCGCAGCCATGCGAACTAACAGGCCAGCTTACCCCAAACAGGATCATTGCTAGCCTTTCGAGACCAAGGCCAAAGGCCCATCCAATGTGCTCCTGTCGCCCTGTTCATCACAACCAGACAGACAACGCGATCATGCAAGCAGCGCAGATACTATTCCTTGCAGGCATCCAGCGTGCGTCAGTGAATGCACCCTGCTGACCGCAATTCTTGAGAATCTCTTGCTTGATGACTCCGCAGCCCAGAACCTCCACCCATTTGCCGTTGAAGAACACCTCGAGCTCGAGCGATGGGTCGGTGAAGGGAAAGGTGGCCGTGTCGTCCCACCGACGCTGGCATTCGCGGCCAAACAGATGGTCAACAAGGCCCTCCAGGCACCACTTCAGGTGTGAAAGAACCTTGTCGCTCGCCCTCACTCCATCCAGAACAGATAGCTCTGCTGGCTCAAAGGTGCGAATGCCATCACATTGATGGAAGACCGGATAGTGAAGCGAGTCAACTCGATCCTGGGTCAGGCAAAGAAGGAGCAGACCAATCAGCAGTGTGCGTGCGTGCGTGAGTGGGTCCAGACTTCATTTAGTGACACCTTTCGATAGACATCGGCACTCCAGATGAGAGCCGATCGTCCTTTCTCAAGGAATTCGGCTTGATGTGCTGTCGCTTGGGTCCTAAGGACGTGCTGGTTTCCCACAAAGTACGTGTCTGTAGACAGACAGACACACACGACATGACCTCCGCAGCACAGCACCGTCCGGGCTCCACCCAGCTCTTGCCTGTGGGAAGTCGACTCACATGGTCCTCTGGGATAAGCAAGGAGTCGAAGTTCTCCTCAACAGTCACGATCGGAGTGCGGTCGTGGAGGGTCAAGTACTCGAACCTCTCATTGCGGAAGTGGTCTTCGATTTTCCGCCTCAGTATACCAAGTGGATGAGTCGGGCACGTGTACAGCCCCCGGCCGATCTTCGACCACACCTTGACAAAGGAACACACACGCACATCAACCACCTGGTGGCGGGTGGTATTCGGATCAATTACGTGATTCGGAATGTGCCTCGGCCGATGCGGTAGTGACAGCTGGCTTCGGAGCACACGGCTGAGGTGGGACATGCACCTCTCGGGGCCTCGAAGCTGTGGTTACACAGGACAGCGCCGAAGGGCGCATTTAAAGCAGGGTTGTCCCTATTGACGAGCGGAAGGGTGACGCTACAAAAATCTGCGAAACAAGAAATCACCAGAGAGCCACTGCTGGCCACTGCTGTTTCGCAGATGGCCCGGAGAAGACGACGAAGACAGGACAAACAGACAGGGAAGAAAGGCGCAGGAAAGCAGAGCAGATCTTCGGGGGGGGCAAGAAGGCAGAGCAGGTTGACTTCAAGCGAGCTTAGACGGCTTTCACACAAATAATACGAAATTATAGTCCATACGCGGGCGATTGCGTGGCCGACAGCATGGAGGAGGAAATCAAAACCGACGTGATTATTGTTGGAGCCGGTGAGCTGCTCACATTGCAGACAAAACAATGCTTGCCTGGTCTGAGTCTTCAACTGCAGGCCCGACAGGTCTCGTTCTTGCAATTGAGCTTGTAAGTCTATCCCCCGACTCTTCCACTGCAGGCTCGACAGGCCTGGGTCTAGGGAACGCAAATAACTCCTGGGTGTCTTCTTTCTACCGCAGGCACGAAGAGGGGTGGACTTCATCGTATTCGACAAACTGCCCGACAGGACTAGAGAGTCACGGGCTCTCGGTACGGTATGCGTCACAACAGTCCGGTCAGGTGAACCGCACATGAACGAGCACATGCGTTTTACATCGCAGGAGTCATGCCAAGGACACTGGAAATCTACGAGGACCTCGGCATCGTCAAGCAGGCACTGAGCAATGGCGTGGAGATGTTGGGAGAAAGGCTGTTCGTGGACGGGACCGTCGCAGTGGATTGGAATTTCAGCGAGGAACGACACAACGAACAAAATAGGAAACGTCTTAGTCACCGATTACATTGTGCACTGCAGGTCGATTCCTTCTACTGCAAGCCGCTTCTCCTCCATGTAAGTCAATACAGCCGACATGATAACGTGTGCTTAATGTGATGTGACGCTTGGTGTGGTATGTGGTGTGGTGTGTCCGGTCAGCAAGTAAGTGGGTGTGCTGCCGTCTTGACAATGCTGCTTTTTTGCTACAGCTAATCGACATCTTTTTCCTGTCCACTGTGTTCAGGGTACCTAGTATTCACTGCCCTTCGTTCCTCTCACTGTTTTCTGTATCTCTGACGTACAGGTGTCACAGAGAAGGTACATACACATACAATCTCTCGTGGTCCGTCGTCACCTTTTTCCTGCTGTGCAGTTGCTCTGCGAGAAGCTCGCAGCCATTCTAGGACCTGACAGAATGAACTATGCGTTGCAGCGGCCAGTAGAAGTAACTTCTCTCAAGGTGAAAGTTTTGGAAAATAGATCACGTTTCGCGCTCAGTTGTTCATTTTCCTTTGTTGTGCCACAGGTGGGCCACACATTCGCCGAGGGAGTTCACGTGTGTGCCTGCTCGCTCTCCGATCCTGAGGAGAGCAATGCAAATGCTGAGGGACAACACAGCGAGGACACCGGCAGCGTCGACAACGTCACCCCAAGGACTAGTGAAGCCGAGACGACGTCGTCAATGACGTACGGGTGGACAACATCAGGAGACACGGGGCAGCAAGGACCGAGAACTCATAGGATTCGAGGAAAGCAGTTCAATGTGCACGCCCGCTACGTTGTCGGAGTGAGCCCTTAACACTCTCCATTGCACGGCTAAACCCATTGCACGGCTCTTCAAGACAATTTATGTTTTCTGTGTTCTGAACCTCTTTTCAGTGCGATGGAGTATATTGAGTCATTCGCTCCGACAAATGTTAGCAGGAGTCATTTTCTTGTTGCATTGTAGGCAAGGAGCTTCGTTCGGAAGAGTCTTGGAATTCCATTTGAGGGCTTCACAATACCATCAGAATTCATCGTCGCTGACGTTGTGATGACCTGGGGCGTGCCACCAGACCGGAACAAATTTAATCTCCTGACAGGTCAACGTTGAACATGAAAGATTCATTTCCGATACTGGTGCGATGGAAAGGTTACTGTCCTTTTCTGGCGTTTCGGCTCAGCTCCCAACCGGATGGTCGAATGGTAAGCAACGGCTTGGCTTTTGGTGCTTGTCAACAAGTTACTTTCTCTCATTGCGCATTTTGCTGAGTTGTCAGCTGTCCGTTGCCGTCTGGTCCCAGCCTCCTCGAACCACCACCAAGGCTCCCCGATGGTGGAGCAACACACAGGCGTCAAGGTGGCGGAGCAGCGAGACAATATGGAAGTAGCTCGTCGAACCGATGGAGGTAACAAAGCAGGACGGAAAGTGTTCTTTTCGCGGCTGCTTGGTGGTTGGTTTGCTTGCAAATCTTTACTTACGTTTTACTCTCAGGCTGACGACGATCAGGCGAATTGCAGAAGACCGTCCAGAGGCGATGCTTGAATGCCGCGAAGCGAGGTTTGGAGAAAGAACCTGGCATAGCAAAAGGCTGAAATTCTCTCCAATCTCCCATTTCTACAGGCCACCACCGAGCAAAAAAGAGCTACAAGCCATGACAGGTATCTAAGCGAACACGTGCCCAGTACAGAAAAGTTCATGTTGCTTTACTTCAGCGAAGCTTGTCGCTGGCACGATCATCGACCACGTCATATGGAGCTCGAGTTTTTCCATCAAGTAAGAGAATGCCCTTGCACATCTACCTCAACTGACCCTTTCTCCTTGTCAACAGCTGTAGGTCTGCAGCGTTCATGAAAAGAGGTCTGCGGGGGCGTGATACAAAGAGGATTGCAGCTTGTTCGCACCTATTGCTCTCTCCTTCCGATCAGGAAATGCATTCCTTGCGGGCGATGCTGCACAGTAAGAGAGAAAGAAGCGCAGAAGGAAGAACTGTCATAAGCTGCCTATTTACTTTATACCTGTTATTTAAGCATCTTCCCTCCGCTTTTCCATCAAGGTATTTCTTGAGTCGTTGTAAGTGGGTTTCATCTCTCGCGTTCTCCGCGTGTCGTCTTTTTTATCAGGTCACAACACTGGCATCGGCGACGCCTACAATCTTGGTATACGGATAGATAGAAAAAAAAGCAAAACCAGAGGCCCATCAGGGCGAAGACGTTTTTACCGCTGTCCGCCGCAGGATGGAAGCTGGCTCACGTTCTGCAAGACGGCGCGAACCGTGAGTTTCCATACACAACGGATCACACCGCAGAGTTATGCGTTTCTCCCAGCTGCATTGTTGGAATCCTACGAACAAGAAAGAAAGCCCGTCGGCGACGCTGTTGTTCGGTATGTTATTCATAGAATATTGCGTTGACTGAACCACTTCGTTCAGCTACTGTCTTGTGTGCGCACAGGTTCACAAGCTTCGGTAAGTTGACGACGGCAGCGTGTTCGTTAAGTGTGCAGCGTTGTCAACTGTTTACCATTTTGATTGATTTTACAGGGTACCAGGAGGTAAAAATGGGCCGTGACTATTGAGAGAACCTTCATTCCACGCAATGTATCTCATGGGCTATGACCACGGCTTTTTAGATCATCGAGGCAAAGGGCTACATCGCCTGGAGTATGAAGAATATTCTTCCTCTGGTACGTCCAAAATTCGAACGCAAGATCTATTGCTGCAGTTTCTTGTTGTGCAGTTTTTCAACAACAAGGCGTTCAACTCGGCCCTGACAAATCGCATCTCTCAATGTCACATCAAGTACCCGGTCGACTCAGGCGCTGTCGGAAAGGTCTTCGTCAGTGACTCCGCTTTGCCTGGAGAGCGAGCACCAGGTAATTCGTAATAATATCATTTGCAAGCCCGCGACTGGACAACACTCGCGTGGGTGACATGTGTGTACGTACATCTTTGCAGATGCAACAGTTGCCATAATTTCATCTGAACCCTCGACCGTCGTAATCGCACCGCTGCCATCCATCCACTTGAGCCAATGCAAAGCCTCCGCTGTCTCTCGCAGGGGAATTTTATTCGCCTTCATGAAGTGTACGTTGGTTCAGGTAGGTCACTCACGTCTGGCAAACATTTGAGCTTCTTTCTTTGTGATCTTCTTGTCTTTCTTAAAGGCCACGTTTTGCTTTTCGTTCTTCGGATTCCACTTTCGAGCGAAGGGCCCAGTGGAAGCAGCTGGTTCAATCTTTGCTCCTCTCAATCACAAGTGACGGAGCCATGTAGCAACTGTCTTCGACTGTCTTCCCACACGGAGTGCTCTTTCTTCAGACCGCAGAGCGCAACATAATAGGAAAAGAACTTGAGCAAATCGTCGAATTCGCCTCCCGAGTGAGGAGCCGCATCGAGAAGACTAAGGTCGTTCTCTTATTCACAGTTGGCTTAGCCAGCATTGTACCTCCGTAAGGGATGCAAAGCCATTCGGTCACTCAACTATTGGATCGCTCAACGTTGTTCTCCGTTTGACAGTAACGCGCAGTTTTCCGGCCTGTCCTTCTTGATCGCGAACTTCAAGGAACGGATGTCGAAGAACTTCCCGAATCAAGCACCAGAGGAGACATGTGTTGCGTGGGATGTCGAAGGGGAGGTCACCCGAAGGTATCGCCTCCATCTTCACCCTTTCACGAAGCACAAATGTGCAGCTTTCTTCTTGATCCGGGATGATAAGGTTGGTGCAAGCACGCAACGTTTGTTATTAGCCTCTAGCTCATCCGCATATCTTTGTCCGTTTGTGCTTTTGTTGTGTTCTCAAGCACATACGGAACCACGGCTGTAAGCAAAGAAAGGTGAAGGGATGGTCGCGTGAATACTGTGACTGTTCCGGTTGATAGACTGTGGCGACACCTATGCTGAAGCGACCTGCATCGACTCGTTGTCTCTTTACCATCCGTAGCACATTCCGGTGGCGGCCGGCGTGCAGTGGGAGCGGCCAGAGTTCACTGAAGATTTAGTTGTGCTTCGGGCTGTAATTTGTAATTCAGTAGTGGTAAGGGTGTGGCAAAATAGCTTCTATTGAGCCAAGTACAGAAAGCTATTCTGAGTTCGTTTCCACCAGTGACTCAGATACATGTCCAGTACACTCAAAAACTGTCACGCAGTCTTGACGGTTATAGCTATGCAAGTGTCTCACTGGAGGCGGATGTCGCCTCCGTCGCCCTTATCAGTCTGTTCTCCGATCGTAGGGGTTGGACTGTGTTGCCCATATCCCTCGTTCTACGCTTTTAGCGTGATGAAATGCCTGATACACAAACGGTATACGGGCGTAGAGGGTAAGAATTCACTTCTCCCAGGCTTACCTCAAAGCCTTCACTCCGCACGTAAAAAGTATTGGCGAGTGTTGGAACAATCTCTCCAGAAACACGATCGACAGCTCCTCCACTCTCTGATTGGAGGGACTTGATCTTCACCAAATCCAATGTCGTCCATGCTGTTGGCTCCGGCAATGCAGGCAAAAGCCCAGCTCGCTGTCAAACCCTTCCTATGCACTCATATATTCAAATGCTGCGCTTCCTGTCTACCTGGTAAAGCAATGCCACATATCCAGCACCCGGCAGCCGCGTATATGACCGAAACTCTCCGGGATTCGCCGGTTTCTCAGTAGCAGGGGATTCCAGCCGACGTCTCTGTCGAATGAGCCTCTGAAGCTTCTGCCAAATCGACTTGGCGTCATTGGATTTGCCGGGTCTTGTGCTCGCTGGTGGCTCACTCTTGTTGCCGCCCAACACATCAGTTTCCAACTCCTCCAGGGCCTCATGGTGCATGCTGATGAGCTCCTGAGGGGCAGAAGAGGTGACACATTGGTTCCCTCGGTTTCTTTCTTCTTCTGTTCTGACCAGAATGCGGACGACGCGCCTGGAGAAGTCAGCGTTTGTCGGTCGCCTTTCCTGCGGCGTCTGTCCTCGGTCCTCAGCCTGTTCTGCCACACGCGAGACGAACGCACCCGGCGCCAGCTGCGCCCCAACGGCAATGGGTAGAGTTGACTTTGCCGCCTCCAGGAGGTTGAAGCGCGAGCGGGAGGTGGGGTCCCCATCTGTGCTCGTGGTCCTGGTTGTCGCGGTGTGCAGCGAAGCAGTTCCCGCCGACGCCATCTCACCAGATACTGCGTCCTCAGCAAGATGGGTGTTATGCTCGAACTCTAACGCGTCCACCAACATGCCAAAAAGAGATTGCAGCGTTGACCTTCGGGCCTGGGACAAGAGACACACAGCACCAAAGCGTCTACCGTTTCTACACTCGTGTTGTTTCAATCCTATTTACTTGTATAGCGTATGAACGCCTTAAATGCCTCTCCAAGGAGTCAAACTCTCGTTCGACTTTCTCAGATGTACGGCAGAGACCGGCCTTGACGTTCATGTACTTGGAATAACAGCAGAAGGATCGTCTCAAATCGCTGTCACGTTGGTGTGCAAACAAATATAAGACGAGCTGTCGTAGAGCGAACAAGGCAGCGAACTTTCAAACCTTACGCTTTCAGCTGGTTGAAGGCGTTGCGGAGCTTCTCGCGGTGACCGTCGGATGCATTTAGGCGCCTTACTGTGAGTTCCGCGACGTGCAAAACACCACTACGAACTGTATCGGCTCCGCGCGTCTAGCAACCAACCACCTTACTTGCAACTTCATTGTAGTCTACCTGTAGATATATGCAACAAGACAGCCAGAAACTGTATCGACTATATAGCTGTCTAAAGGTTCAGATACCAATGCGAGGCGGTCTGCGTATTTAGTCATCTGATTGCAGTCAAGAAACGGCGTCAAACCCCGAGATGCTGATGCCCTTCCTTACTTTCATTCGGCCCCAAGAATCGATCTCTGTCACGTACGCTTGTCCGTGGTCTTTCATTATAACCGCCGCACGATCGAACGGACCTGCTCAGTACAACAAGCACAGATGCGGGTCCCTGACGCTTTGACGGGGCTTTGGCTTCTGACACTTGTTCCAGAACCGCCGAAACATTGTGACGAGCGCTGCGTACACAAGAAAAAGCTGGTCTCCGCTCGTTCCCGTTACTCTTGGTTGCTAACCTTCATAGAAGTGCAGCGTGTTGAAGTTTAGAGATGTAAGCAGAATATCTCCATCCTGCAAGCTGCACTCGATCTAAGTCAACACCACGAGAGGCAGGAGTCAGACTTCGAGGTGGTGGCCTTTGAGTCGTCCTTTCTTCTTCTTTCTTCTTTTCTTGTTTTACGAGGTAATCGGTGGTGAAACCTGGAGAATAAGACATAGCCATCGCCTAGGAAGAAGAAATAGAGAGGCAGCAGTCTTGGTGTTTTACCATAGCGTTTGCCATAAAACGGGACATCTCCTGCATATCAGATCCATCACGCGAGCATCCTTCGTACGACCGGAACGTTTACCAGCCTGTTGAGCGGTTTCTTTCTGCATCAGCGCACATTAGCACCAAACAGAAGATGTAGCCAATGGCCAATGATTATGAATGCTTGATGGAATTGAGGCCTCATTACCGTGAATGCCACTCGATTTTTCCATTTCCGATGCACCAGCGCGAGTCGGCGCAGCTCCCAGAAACCCTGCATGCACGAAAGCAAGACATGACGCAATCATCGTCATGGGTACTTGATCCTACCACTACGAAAGGAACGGATATGCAAAAGGACCCGATGTACACTGAATTCAGAGAGGGTGAAGCGACAATCACGTATTGCGCAGATGGCACTTCTGGAAGATCTGATCATCAGCACTTACTCAAGTTGTCTCTCCTGAGCTCAGCTGAGTTCAAGAAGAAGCCAGCCCAACCCCTTCGGATGAACAATTCTTTACCCGCGCTCTGAAAGGATCAGCAAGTGTCTGAATGCTAACTCCTCTGTGTGCTGTTTTGGTGCTCCTTGCCATCGTCTCGGAAGGGGAGGCGCCAAATCCTTGCTCGTCTGCCTTCCTTTTTCGCTAGCTCGCATTTCTGGCCAGGAACATGATTATGGCCAAGACAGACCGCTGATATGAATGATACGCTTTCCCCAGCTGGCAGGTGATGGAAGACATGGACGACACCCAACGCCCGGGACGAACAACTGTCTTGCGCCGAGCGACACTCAATGCGTCAATTTTTTACACTCACATGTCGGTCAGGTAAGACCGGCACAGTCATGTAGACGTCACAAGCAAGAACCACACTGCACATGTGTGCTCGTTTCCTTCCCGGCTCGCCACTCATCGAGCGCCCTTTGCCCCTTTGCCCCCCTTGGGAACGGATCCTTTCTGCGCAGCAGCTTTTGCACCCGCAAACTTGGTCTTCGCCTCCTGTCTCTTCTGCTGCCGGGCTTTGGCCTCCTTGAGTGCCACCTCCTGTGCCGCCTGTGAGGCAATGTCCAGAACATTCAAGTCAGGTCACACAGGCCAAAGGGTGCTCTTGTAGTGTGGCAATTGTGGCGTTTGTCTTAGTGGACGAACGAACCCGGCGTTCAACTGGCTTTGCCGCTCTCTTGCGCTTGATGTCCTCCAGTGTGAGGCCGACGATGGCCTTCTGCACCTTGGCTGTGCGTCGTGTCTTCCTTCTCGTGACCTCCTCAACCTTGCCCTTCTTGTTCATGCGTCGCCATGCCTGGGTCCACGTGAGCTTCACAGGCTTGATACGCTGGTGGTGGAGCGAGTCGGTCTTGGAGTTGATGAACAGGTAGTTCTTGCCGTCACGAGCAATGAAACGCTGACCACGACCTGGGTACACACGGTACTCACTGCGAGGGAGGGAGATGACGACACACGAACAACAGACACACATCAGGGGCAGAGAGTCAAGCGAATCTCCCGTACCCGCCTACTCCCACCCCATCCCAGAGATCAGACCACTGAGGCTTGTGCCTTACCTGTACGAGCACGACTCTGTCTTGATCACCATCCCGGCGAGGGCTCACACACGAAGAGCAGATCTTCCTCAATTGGCTTCCCGGCAATCTTCCCTCACACAGGAAGGCTCCCCTCGAGTCCGAGCTGAGTGAAGCTCCCCTGGAGCAGTTTCACGGAATCCTAGGGTTGCGAGCTAAGAAGTGAAGATCTGTCCGCCTCCGACAAACGGCACCACAGAACACCCACCCCCGTCGTAAACCATGAAAGTGCCACCGACTCTTGCCCGGGGCATTGTGCGAGCATATGGGAGGAAGGCTTTGCGGCCAGTGCTCAGCAGCTTAGGCACCTGGAACCAAGGCAGGCATCTGACCACCAGCAGCAGAGCGCTGGCGGCAAAGATGAGTCCAGCTGAGGTACGTGAGGATGTTTGCAGTGAGATCCGATCTTCCTCATGGGTTGATTTCCCTTCCTCCCCCGGTGTGTCTGCTTTTCCATAGTTGACAAAGATCCTGCAAGAGCGCGTGGAGAACTTTTCCGAACAGGTGAGTTGCAGAGTCTATGAGGGCTTGTTTTCGAAGGAACTTCGTTCTTTGTTGTCTTTTTCTGTGCCCTTGCATGGCGCTCACTCACAGCAAGCGGTTGATGAGGTGGGTCGTGTGTTGTCTGTTGGTGATGGCATTGCCCGCATCTACGGCCTCAAGAATGTGCAAGCCGGCGAGATGGTCGAGTTCAGCTCCGGCATCAAGGGCATGGCACTCAACCTGGAGACAGACAACGTCGGCGTCGTCATATTCGGAGACGACAGGTGGGTGGGTGGGTGGGTGGGTTGGTACTTGCGGGCGCCATGAAGACAGGCAGACAGGCAAACAGGCAGACATGCAGACATGCAGACAGAGGCAGACAGGTGCCGTCCATACAAGAGAGCTGGCCAAAGTGGTCCCCGGGGGGCGGTAGCGTAGCGTAGCGTAGGGTAGCGGCGTGCCTAAAGACTGAATGCAGGTGCGGTCGATTCGGAGGCGCATGCTGCTTTCGTGTGTTGTGTTGTGCTGTGTACATCCAGGGGCATATTGGAGGGTGACACTGTTAAGCGTAGTGGCGCTATTGTGGATGTGCCCTTCGGTGAGGAGCTGCTTGGGCGGGTGGTGGACGCCCTTGGGAACGCCATCGATGGGAAAGGTAGGAAGGTGGGCGGGGCGGGATCGACACCCACCGATGGATGAGACATCCACCTAAGAGAGATGTGGGCAACAGATAGATAGGTACCTCCCGGTTTCTTGGATCACTCACTGATTGTGTCCTCAGGACCCATCAAGACTGCAAGGCGCCAGCGTGTCGAGGTATGTACATAAGGGGGAGGGAGGGATGGTGCACGGGGCTGGCTGGCTGAAAACGCCGCGAGCAAGCGGCAGGCCGGTCGATAGATAATTGTTTTGTGGTTGCTGTTCAGCTCAAAGCGCCTGGCATCATACCTCGGAAGTCTGTGCATGAACCGATGGCCAGTGGCTTGAAGTGCGTCGACTCACTGGTAGGCATACATACACAACACGTACACAGCAAACACGTGCGCGCAATGCAATGAGCCGACGAATGAATGAACCAACTGATGAATGAATGAGTTAATGAGTGTGGTTGGTTTGCCTTGGTACACGTACCATACGTATGGCGCGCCACGTGTCTGCAGGTCCCAATCGGTCGAGGCCAGCGCGAGTTGATCATCGGAGACAGGCAAACAGGCAAAACCGCCGTGGCAAGTGAGCTGGACCCACCACATGGCTTTTGCTGCACAGTCGACAACCATTGGCCTCTCCTGTTGTTCTTCCTTTGGTGATGATTCTGTGTCGTTTCAGTTGACACGATCATCAACCAGAAACAGTATGTTGTGTGGCTCGGCGGACTCTGATCAAATCACTCGACGATGGGTGCACTTATGTCTGGGTATGTCAACGATCAGATACAACGAAGGCGCCGATGAATCGAAGAAACTTTACTGTGTGTACGTCGCCGGTACGTCAAACACCGCACACATACAGACAGACAGACAGACAGAAGGGGGTGCGGCTGTAAATGACGACCTTATACACAACTTGTCTGTTCTGGACTGCACTGCACTACGCTGTGTGTGTGTGTGTGTGTGTGGTTTCGCCCTGCCCTCCCTTACTTGATCCAGTGGGCCAGAAGAGGTCGACTGTCGCACAGATCGTCAAGGTGAGTGGCTCGGCGGGCAGACAGCGTACAAAGCATAGCTATTTTCCACGCCAGACGACCAGGCCACGGTAAATGTTTGTTTTCTGTCTGTCTGTCTGTCTGTCTGTCAGGTTTTGGAGCAGCATGACGCGTTGAAGTATTCGATCATCGTGGCTGCGACTGCCTCGGACGCCGCCCCTCTGCAATTCCTGGCCCCGTACAGTGCGTGTGCCATGGCTGAGTACTTCAGGGACAACAAAAAGCATGCCCTCATCATCTATGACGACCTCTCCAAACAAGCCGTCGCATACAGACAAATGTCCCTCCTACTGCGGTACCGACGCACGCACGCACGGACGCACGGGGGCGGCACGGGGCAGCCAGGGGCTGCCCGAATGTAGACCAATGGATAGATAACTATATGGCGACACACACACACAGACATACCAGACCAGACGAGACCGACACCACCCTCACTGAGTTGGGCATGGATGGTGTGCTGTGTTGTGTTGTGTTGTGTTGGCTGACTTGCCGCTGCCTGCGTCTTTTGTTTCTTCAGACGACCCCCAGGTCGTGAAGCGTATCCAGGTGATGTCTTCTACCTCCACAGCCGGTACGTACGTGAAGACATACAGACCTCACGACAAGCACACGGCAAACTGTGTGTAACCTGTGTGTTGTGTCTTTTGACGTCGCTGGTATGTCACCAGGCTGCTGGAGCGTGCGGCCAAGATGAGCGATGAAAAGGGGGCGGGCTCTCTTACAGCATTGCCAGTCATCGAGACGCAAGCAGGTACGTCCCTTCGTACGTACGGCAGGCCGGCAGGGGTTGAGGTGTCGGCCCGTGGGGTGTGGGGTTGGGTGCAGGCGATGTGTCTGCCTACATCCCGACCAACGTTATTTCCATCACCGATGGACAGATTTTTCTCGAGGTGAGTTTTCGCCTAACCGCCCACTCACCGTGCTTGCGAAGTACGAGCAGTGAACACGTGCGTGTGTCGGGCTCCTGTCTGTCTCTTTGGGCCTTGCCGGCTATGTGTGTACGTGGCACGGTACATCCGTTGTCTCCTCCATCCATCAGTCGGAGCTGTTCTACAAGGGTATCCGGCCAGCGATCAACGTGGGCCTCTCCGTCAGTCGGGTGGGCTCAGCAGCGCAGATCAAGGCCATGAAGCAGGTCGGTCGGTAGCCATTCGGCCGATGCATGTCGATACCATAGCGTACACGTTGGCCGCTTGGTTCGTTGTTGATGCGATGCACTCGGTGTGTTGGTTGGCACAGGTGGCTGGCACCATGAAGCTGGAGCTTGCTCAATACCGTGAGGTGGCCGCCTTCGCACAATTCGGGTACGCATGGACGAACCCATCCCATCCTCAACCAGACAGAGAGGACACGGGATGCAGGGAGCGGCCCGGGTGCTGCGTTGCCTGTCGGTTCATTCGCTCTCTCACTCTGTGCGATCAGTTCGGATTTGGATGCGGCAACCCAGCAGCTGCTGACCCGTGGCGGTGTGCTGACTGAGCTACTCAAGCAGAAACAATACGTGCCGATGAAGACAGCCATGCAGGTACGTGAGTATGTATGTATGGATGAATTTGGGGGCTCAGTGAGAACACGTCACTCCTTTCTCGGCCTCCCTGCCTACCCTGGGCCTCTCACTCATCTGGTGCGTGTGTGTCTCTCTTCTCGCCTGGCTGGCTGGGGGGCCCGTCTAACAGGTGGTGGTCATCTTCGCCGGTGTCAGGGGCTTCTTGGACGTGAGCAGCCCAAGAAGACGTCCATCAAAGTGAATGAATGCATGTCGTCTGCTATCCCTTTCTGCATGCAGAAGCTGGAACTGAAGGAAATCGGACGGTATGTGTGTACGTCTGCCTTGAAGTGCCCTCCCGCCCCTCCATTTATCTTATCTGCGCGCCTTGTGTGGCGGGCGTCCTGGCTGCGGTGTCTATCGTCTGTCGTTGCAGCTTCGAGCAGCTGTACGTGCCCTTTATCGTGGAGAATCACAGCGACATCCTGCAAGCCATCGAAAAGTAGGCATGCCAACGGACCGGCCCCTTTCTTGGCTGAGCCGGCACCACCCCACCCCCTCCACTCCACTTGCAAGCTGACGTTGATGGATGGATGCAATGGCACCGCACTCACGCGTGTCGCCTGTCTGTCTGTCTGTCTGTCTGTTCGTCTGTCTGTGTTTCAGAGAGCGGGTGATATCCGAGGAGACCGAGCAGAAGCTGCGATCAGCCATAGAGAAGTTTATGAACATGTATGAGTTTGCGACCGTCGCGTGAGGCTTTTCCCGAGCGGGGGAAACAAACAAAGAGGCAGGGACGGCACTTAGTCTTGTGTTTCTGTTTGTCTGGGGAGTGCGGTGTGAGCATCGCCACATTCTACGCATTCTACGCGGGATGGACGGACGGACGAAACGAGTGGTTTACACGCACGGTCAGGCAGGCATTTGCCGATGAGCAAATGCATCTAGCTATCTGTCCATTGATCTATGGGAACGCTGTTTGACTCGTCCAGACTATTTATCATTTCTTCGTGTCATCCATCGCTTCTCTACGAGTGACGACGGGCAGGGGCATGTCATGGCTGACTATTCGACATTGCTCACACGTCTGTACACCCTCCTGGGCAGGACGGTCCGGGCTCCTCCTGTCCACCTGACCTGATCGAAGCAAGATACAGAAAGAAAGCGGACAGGTTGTGGGTGTGCGTGTCAGTCATTCATTCACAATGGATGGATGGATGGATAGATGGAGGGACGGGCGGCGTGACCTCACCCGGAGGGTGACAAGGGATGGAGGGCACTGCGTAGCGGATGCATCGGGCGGCCGAAGCTGCAGCAACATCTCACGTGGGTATACGCACATAACACTGCACGTGCGGCCTGCAACACAGTGTCCAACCACCCAAGGAGCAGCACAGCGAACGCACATCAGCATCGCGGGCCGTCTATCCAATCCACACCTACTTGGGTTGGAGCGTTTCCTGTGAACACAGACGTAGTGATAGATGCCGGCCAGCAACACCACGATGAAGACCCTGAGGGATAACCTGAGCACCAGATCTTTGATGATCCACTCATGTTTCATCACATTTTTACCTCAACACGTCCAGAGAGATGGTCATCGAGCGGAGAGAAATCTCCATGAGAGCTCCACCAACAGATCCAAGCATCGGCCAGGTTTCATATCCCGCCCCCAAGGCCCCCCAGTCTCTCTCACCTATAATGGCAGAGGAGCAGAATCCGTTCACGCTGCCTGCGGATGAGGAGATATTTCTGCTTCGGGAGGTAGAGCGTCGGCAGCACCATGAGGAACGAGAAAAGCAGAAATCCCTGCACGTGTGGGAGAAGGGCACCAGCTGCAGCCGGATGCGCAATATCCGCCACGTCAAGGATGACGAGAAACCCACCGCACCGCCAGCTGCTGGGGCTGCTGCGCAGCAAGATTCACTCGCGCTCTCGGGCGCCAAGAGGGGCAGGGAGGGCGGCCCCCCACAACCCAAGTCGGCAGCAGCTCAAAAGTTCCTCCCAATGGTGCCCACGGGCGCCAGCTTCCCACGAGAGATGCGCAGAGAGAAAGAGGACCTTCGCAGCTTCATCGGTAATACTCACATACACACACACATACATACATACATGCATACATACGTACATACAGACATACATCAGGAGGAAGGGAGGGACACAAGCAGACAGGACAGCATCCACACCCTCTCAACGTGAGATAGTTTTCTGTATTGTGCTTTATGTGTGCTGCACGGGTCCCTTGGCTGGTTGGTTGGTTGGTTGGTTGGTTGGATTCGTTGGCTGATTGGCTGCTTGGCTGGTGCTGATGCATCCATCAGCCAAGAAGCGGGAGATGTTTTTGGTGCAGATGTCGTTGGACATCAAGAAGGCCGAGATCCTCAAGCTGCACGAAAAGGCAGCCATGAAGGAGGAGGCACTCAAGAAATCGCAGCAAATGCTCGAGGAAGACGTGACCAGGTATCTACATACATATACATCCATGCGGCAGGCACCACGGACGCTCGCAGCCCTGGACTCATGGGGTGTGTGTGTTGGGGTGTATGTGGTGTGCAGGTTTGACGCGTTCTTGCACGCCAACGACGCCAAGGCGCATAAAGCAATGAAGGTGTGTCAGTCAGTGAATTAGTGAGTAAGTGTGGCAGCCTCCTCCCCGCCAGCCAGTCAGCCAGCCAGCCAGCCAGCCAGCCATGGGATCAACACTTGGGGAGTGAGTAGCCAGCGATTTCATGTGTCGCTGCGGAATTTTCTGTTGTTGCGGTGAAGCAAGCCGAGTCTCTGATGAAGATAAAACAGGAGAAGGTGCAGAGGATAAAACAGCTCAAAGGACAAATATCGGTCGGTGCCTGCAGCGGCCGCATAGCATACACACTATATTTTGTTGCGTGGGTGCCCTTTATGTACGTATGCGTATGGATGGCTGGCTGGATGGATGGATACACACATGCAGGCGATTCAGTCAGAGATATCAAAGCAGCGTGAGCAGAAGGAGGAGTGCATCAAGTTCAAGCACTTCCTTGATAGACTCACGCCGCAGGAGTGGGTCGACGAACAAATATGCGTCAAACAAGACAGAAAGGCCAAGAGAAAACAGGTCAGTCACTTTGTTCATCGGCTGTTCCGTCTTGTGCGCGACCCAATGTCTCGTTGGTTGGTTCATTGAAGTGTGTGTGTGTGTGTGTGCGACGCCCAACAAACAGCGTTGGATCCAGATGCGTTTGGAAGAAATCAATCGAGCCCTGGCTAAGGACGTCGAGGACATCGAAAGGTCACACTGACAGACAGATAGACACGATTGGATGGATGGATGGATAAATGGATAATTGGACGCCCGCCGAGAAGTCGTATGGTTGTGCGCCTCTCTCTCTGTGTGTGTGTGTGTGTGATACGACAGGGATGCTGAGAGGGAGTGGCAGCAGGAGGAGAAGAAGAGGAAAGGCAAGGCACTCGAGGACGGTGAGTGAGGAAACAAACGAGCCATACAACAAACGGATCCATTAGATTACAGCCAGCCAGCCATCTTCAACCATGCATACATCCATCCATGTACGTACGTATGTATCGATCGATCAGCCAGGCGTGAAATCGAGGACCGTGCTGACCGCCGACGCAAGGCGAGTCGGCGCAAATACCCCACGGCGGCTGAGCTGGACAAGGAGTATGAGGATGTCAGCAGTGGGGACGAGCTCCCGCTCTACTTCAAGGAACCCAAACAGCTCCTTGACATATTCACAGTAAGTACCCACACACAGACACAAACCCAATCCATACACAAGCGGGAGACTTACCCGTCAGGGTCCACACACACATTCTCCGTCGGTTGGCTAACCGGCTTGCCGGCCCCCTGGCTGCCATGGTTGTATGTATTGTGTGCAGGCGCTTGAGGAACAGAATTTGTTTCTGATCCAGAATGCCCAGGAGACCGAGCAGGCCCTGGAGGAAGTGGACCAGAAGTTCGCTCAGACGCGAAAGATCATGGGCGGAAAGGCAGAAACACTCAGGGCCAACATTGTTGAACTTGGTCAGTCACTCAGTCAGTCATGTCTCCACGTACATTCGATGGATGGATGGATGGATGGATGGACGGTGTGTCGTGTGGCGTGTTTGTGTGTTTGGCTGCAGAGAAGCAGGTGAATGAGGAGCGTCGTCACTGTGATGAGCTCAAGGAGACCCTGCGGCAAAAGTCGGGCAGCAAAGAACAAGATGCAGTCCTCAAGGAACTCGCAGCCAAGGTACACAGGCAGGTAGAGGCAGCCAGCCAGCCAGCCCGGCTGGCTTCACAGAAGCACGAGCCGGATGAGACACCGGAATGATTTGTGTATGTGTCTGTGGCTGGATGTGTGTAGGTGTCTGAGGTGTATTTGGCGTGTGGGTTTGACATCGATCACGATCCCGACCCGCTCAAGATGCTCGAGGCCATCGAGGCCAAACTGGAGGAACTACTTGCACAACTTGACGAGTGTGAGGGTGAGCAACCGTCGCTCTGTGTCTCCCTCCCTGGCAAGCCACGCCTCTCTCCCTCTTGTTTCTGTCTCCGTGTGTCGCGTGCGCGTGTGTGTGTGTGGGCGTGTGTGTGTGCATCTATATAGGTGTGAATGCTGAGTTGGTGCGTAGTCTTGAGAGGGAGAAGGAGAAGGAGCGCCGCGAGGCGGTGCGTCAGCACAAGATCGAGATGCAGCACAAGAAGAACGAGGAGCGGCTCAGGGCCAGCCTCAAGCGTTCACAGGAGCCAATCAAGAAGAAGAAGGGCAAACCAGTCATGTTCAGATCCCCACCCGAGCGACGAGACAACCTACGGGTCACCAGCGTCGACACAGAGGTCCCTTCACGCACTCGACTCGATCGACAGACACCTCACTCTCCCAGCTCACATATTCATCTGTCTGATTCCTTTCGTGTGCAGGCGCTTGAGAGGGAACGCGAGTATGCCCTGTTCTTCACCTGAACGGTGCGTGTACATACAGAGATGCATACGGATACGTACATGCATGCGCGGATATGCAATGGACATACGTGCCAATGAATACACGTGTCTCTTTCACGCGGCCGATCGCCTCAGTCGACAGTTTGTGGCGATCACCATGATGATAGAAATTCCCATGCCATATGACACGTCGCTTCACAGTCGCTCGTCGAGAGTCGCGATTGCGAGCTCAGCCCGGGAATTCGCAAAGGCGAGCGGAAAGTTCTCCACACAGACAGAAACCAAACGTGGGTGACGGTGCTTGGACTACAAGGATGAGCGAGCAGCAGCAGCAGGAACAGCAGCAACAGCAGGTGGGTGAGATGGAGGGTCACTCGGCGTGAGGGTCTCGTCTGAACTGGTTGGGGTGCCTGCCTTGTGTGTTTCCCCTGTGTTGTGGTGTGGTCCACCTGACAGGTTCTGTGTGCCAACGGGTGTGGGTTCTTCGGTTCGGCGTCGACGAGGAATCTATGCAGCAAGTGTTGGAGGCAAGTGGTCCAGGAAGAGAAGGCCGAGGGAGCCAGTAGGCCCTCAGAGAAGCTCCAGGGCCTCGACAAGGCCCTCACCGCTGACAAGACTGCCCCTCCCAACGATAGCAGTTCCACTGGCAACGGTGCGGCGTCATCAGCGGCCTCGGATGTCGCTGGCGCGTCCACCAAGCCTGAGGAGGTCAAGACGGCCGCCGAGGGCGATGCCGACAAACCCGACAGGCCCGTACAGGTACCTGCCAACGCACATAACCTACAGGCGGCTGACACTGCCGATACATGTGCACAACACTGCTGTTCGCTTGTGTGGTGCACCCATCCCTCAGGTGAACAAGAACCGCTGCTGGAAGTGTCGGGCTAAGATCGGCTTGTTGGGTGAGACGCACACACGTCGCACAGGCAATGTGTGCACGGTTTGATGCACAGAGATCCCTCGCTCACCGACGTGAGGGCGGTTGGGTGGGTCGTTCTCACCGGGTTCGTGTGTGATGTGCCCACCTACCAGGTTTCGAGTGTCGATGCGGGTACTTTTTCTGCGGGACACATCGCTACGCAGACATGCATGAGTGTGACTTTGACTGGAAGGTGAGCCCAACCACACACATCGCACCACACCACACTCTCATTCGGCGTCACGCACCCTGGGGGGCTCTGGCTATGTACGCATGTGTCCAGAACTTCGAGCGTCAGAACCTGGCTAAACTCAATCCGGAGGTCGCGCCGTCGAAGCTGGAGCGGATCTAGATAAGCAACGGTCGGACGTGGGAGTGGATGGATGGTTGAAGGAGTTGGATGTGAGGGGAGCAAGGGACACAGTGCCTGCCTCTCCTCCCTGTCAGCCAGCTCGTCTGATCGATCCTATGCCTGTTTGTACTTAGATATGTATGTATGTAAACGTGACCGACAGACACGGACGGACCCACCCACATGTTTTTCTCGCTGTCTTATTACTACTACCCTTTACCCCTCCCCCCGCTTGTCTTGTTCTTTCCTGCTTCCTCCTTCCTCCCTCTCTCGTCGGTCGGTCTGTCTGTCTGTCTGTCTCAAGGCACTGTAAATGATAAGAAAAGGCAGAGGGACGGGAGGACGGCAGGCGGGCAGGGTGGCTTCTTGTTTGAATCGTGCTGGCTGGCTGGTCGATGAATCGAGTGGGTGGGTGGCTGGCTGGCAGGCAGGCTGGGTGTCTCTGTTCTACGAACCGAACCGGCCAAAAGGGGACAGACACGTCGCGATGGGTCATCTGCAATGGAATGCGGTCCAATGTTACTCATCGGAAGGATACGTGCACAGTCTCATGACAGACACACCAAGTCAAAGCAATCCCCATTCTCACTTATGAGTCATGACAATTAATTCATCACTCCCGTTGACCCAACTGAGCAACACAACCACACCATCCAGTGCACAACCATGCAGCCTGCGACAGACGGTGACAGTGTGTGGATGTGTGTGTACCGTCTAATTCTTCAAAGACGTGGACAGGGCGATCATCAAAGGCGACGGCTGTGAATGTGTGTGTACCGTCTGTTTCTTCAGAGACGTGGACAGGGCGATCATCAAAGGCGACGGCTTCTTCCCGGATGTTGATGCTGCTGAGCCAAAGAAATGAACGACAGACAGACAAGGAAGGTGTTTAGGTCTTGTGAGTGAAGGGCTCCTCCCATCCCGCCCCCGTTTCTCACCCGTTGGCTTTAATGCCGCATGTCGAATGGCCAGCGCCAGTGGGGAGAGCCTCTTCTGGGGCCGGATGACGGCACCTGAGGAAGGAAGAGAGGAACGAACAAATGGAGGAAGGAAAAGGCAGATGGCAATGGATGGGATGAATGCAGCAACGCGTCCGAGACTGACCCAAACACACCAGATAGTACCTAACAAATGGAACCAAAATGACACATTTGCCGCTCTCTCTCTCTCCCTCTCTCCCTCCCTCTGTGTGTGTGTGTCCGCCCGTGCGATCGGAAAGGTACATACATGACAACGCCGGCTGCCCAAATGTCCGATTTCACGGAAAAGTTCTCGACGAACTCGTGGCACTCAGGGGCCTGCACGCATAGAGAGGAGGGAGAGACATCAGGGGGGCGACAGGTGGATTGGTGTCCTCTTAATGTATGCATGCATGTGTCAGTCATGTGGTTGGACAAGTTACAATGTACATTTTTGACCCCGGCATAAAGCGGCGGTCGTCTGGTTGGGTGATGAAATGGCAGAAGTCCAGGTCCACCATCTTGAGCACTTTATGGCGTCGGTCGCTGAAGACGAAGGTCTCCAGCTGGATTGCGCGGTGGATTGCCTGTTTGCGCGAGTAAGTGAACAAACAGGCAGACAGGCACATGTGCAGGTGTGTACAAAAGTGCAGTTATCATGGCTGACCCCTTTGTCATGAAGGTGTTGAAGTGCAAGAAGGAGTTGCCGCATGAAGGCCTTGATCTCGTCCTCCGATAAGCCCCCTGATAAGTGAGCACCCGAGGATTTGAGGTATTCTCTTAGGTTCGGGCCAGACAGCTTCTCAGACACTGCAGCCAGCCAGCCAGCCAGCCAGCAGGAATGAATGAGCAAAACGACCAGCCAGGGATGAATGAGCGAAAGATATCTTCTGCACGTTGGTCAAGAGTGATTGACGACTTACCAACGTAGATATGTTCCTTGTCTTGGCATATGTCCAGAGGATTGGCCACGTTATGGTGTGGCTGCTTCATGAGGTGGCACTGGACCTGTTTGTAGTATTGAGGGCTGACACGAAGGCTGACAAATGATAAATATATACGCACAGGAATGACAGACACCAATTGTATACGGATAGGAGAAAGAGAGCACTCAGATCTCTTACTGAAGCGCCTCCTTCTCGATCTCCTTGAGGGAGCACTCTTGGTTGGTTTCAGCAACGGTGGCGTCGTATGTGGCGGAGTATCTGCAGCGATGAAGATGACCGACAAAGAGATGGATTCATTCATCATTGGCCATCCATTACCCGTCTGAATGTCCTGCCTCCCTCTTGTCCGTACCTGTTTCCGCCGGTCTTATCCCCGCGAGAGTACTCAGCTTTGATGTCATTGATGTGGCGCCACACCGTCCGAGGCGTTTTCTCGTGCATGGCCTTGGCCAGACCCTCTCCCTCTCCCCCACCACCTCGACCATGACAATGTCCTTGCGCATGCGGTGGATGTCTGTGGTTGCTCTCGGTGGTGGTGGTGCTGCTGCTGGTCTTCCGCTCTCGGTGGTGCTTGGTGCCTACTGGCGCCCTCAGAGAGGTGAATTCGGGTTGCGTAGTCGAAGGGGGAAGCGGGGGGTGAAGACGAGGGCTTGGGGAAGCGGCGCTGTGTACTGACTGGGGAGGTGGCTCGTGTGTGGTCGGGCCTTCGTCGTTGGGGCTGAGCAGAAAGCTCAGGGCGGCCGAGTCGCTGGGGTGGGGGGAATCATCCATGCCCGCTCACCGGCGACCACGTGTTCAGCACGTACGATGGTGACGAGGGGCAGATCCGTCAGATCCGGTTACGCATGTTTCAAGCTCGCATGCCGAGGGAAGATCGTGGCGTGAGTGAGGAGTTGAGATCTTACATGGGAGGAGGCCCTTTGGCTGTGCAGCATGAGTATGTCCGGAGAAGTGGCGTCCATTCTCTCTCGATGGGGACTCGCCCGCAACGCAACACTCAGGGAAGTCACCGCCGTCTACAAACAGAGAGGTACACACACGCGCACACAATGACAGATCATCACGATTCAGCCACTATGGCGTTTGCTTGTCCATGACCTGTTTGGTGTGTTGGCGTGGCGTTCCATTTCAGTCAAGGTTCTGCATCCTGACGTCAACAAGGCCGCAGACGCCCATGCTGCAGTAAGTAGGGGAGACAAACACATCCGGATCTACACTCACCAGCCAGCCACCAGATACTAGTCATCGCTGACCTGTCTGTCGTGTGTGTGCTGGATGGTCACAGTTTGTGCGTCTGAAGAGCGAGTACGAGACGCTCGAGGAGGCTCTGAGCCGCAATGGAGGTGCTGGTGCTGGCAGTGGTAGCTGGCCAGGGGGTGCTAGCGGGCAGGAGTCGTCTTCTTCTTCTCAGTGGCCACCCCACCACCCGCCGCGTGGCGACTGGTACCGCAGCTACACGGCTCACTCTCAGCCGTACCAGCCGTACACGGCCTACAAGGGGTACGGCGAGCGGCAGACGTATGACGAGAGCATGGGGGGGTGGCGCCAGACATACCAGGGCGACGCCGACGCCAGACAGAGGGAGGAACGCAACGAGCAATGGAGGGCACTGCTCCCGGGACTACTCAATGTACGCACTCACACAACACACACCCACACACTGGCATGCAGGTTGGCTGGCTGGCTGGATGATGGCCCATGTGATCGTATCGATATCTCTCTGTCTGTCTGTCTGTCTGTCTGTGGATCGGCCGACGGGATGCTGGCTGGCTCTCTCCCTCCCCCAGCTGACGGTGGTGTTGGGTGGGTCGTTCGCTGTCTACATGTTGCTCCAGAAGTTCCATCGGCGGGAGCAGGAGCTCTATGACCGCGATGTGGCATACGCCCCCTACGGCAGCCAGCAGCGGCCCATCCACCAAGCCGATCTGCAGGCATACGGCCAGTTCCACCCCAACCAGGATGACCCCAGGATGCGGATGCCACACCGGCAGCAGCCCATCGCCACACGGGTGCGGGGTGCAGAGGCGCTGTCCGACCAAGACACTGGTGTGGGTGGTGGGCCTGCTGCCGCTGCCATGTCTGCGCCGACTTTGTCCAAGAGCGAGCCAGCATTGGCCATGGTGCATCAGCTGTCGGATGCTGAGGAGGCCGTGCTAAGGGGCGAGGCGCGGGATGACGACAGCGACGTGCACACCGAAGATGAGGCAGAGGTGCATGAGGGACCAGGGCCACCCAAGAAACCAAAACCACACGCCAAAAGGGGTACGTACGGTACGCACGGCCGAACGGACGGTTGAAGGGTGGGTGGGATGCGCACGCGACACTCGGCTGCTTCTGTAATTGTGTGGCCCATGTTGGGTGTGTGTGTGTGCGTGTGTGTGTGTGTGTGGCCAGAGTCTCCCCTGTTCGAGAAGGGCGTCAAGACGGCTCACATTTTGGCTCACAGAGGTGACGTATCGCGACTCTACAGCCTGATGAAGGCTTCCAAGTATCCCCACCAGCAGTTGGTGCTCATAGACAGGTAGGTCAGTCCACACAATACATACATACATACATACGTCTGTGTGCGAGGCAAAGGAATGCGTGTTGGATGGTTGGTTGTGTTGTGTCCGTCTCTGATCAGGAGGGGCCGCACCCCGATGCACTTCGCTGCATTGGCCGGTAAGCAGTGCACTGCAGTGCAGTGCACGGCCAGCCAGCCTGCACGCCACACGAACGGATCCCTCCCTCCACCCGGTTCTGTGTGTCGTGTCGTTTTGTACTTCTGTGCGTGTGTACACGTACGCCCACAGGTCAAGAGGAGTGTGTAAAGGTGAGCGACACGCGGCCTGTGGATGCACCTGGGTGGGGGCTGCATTCCTTCCTTCGCTCCGCCCTCCCTTGTGTGCCTCTCTTTGTGCACTGCAGTTCCTGTACAACTGTGGGGCGGACATCAACGCCGTAGACCACGATGGCAAAACTCCCGCAGACCTCGCAGACGACAAGGGTACACCACACACACACACACACACACAATCTCACGCAGCCGCCGCCCGCCAATCGACTTAACGGATGGATGGATGAGAGCATCTGTGTCTGTGTCTGTGTGTGTGCGCGTGTGTACATACATCCTGTATGGTCAGGCCACGCAGTATTGGCCAAGAAGATGCGTTCCCAGACAGACGCCAGGCAGGCGCAGGAGGCAGCTGCTGCACCCAAGACAACACACAAGCAGCAATTGGAGAAGGAGTGAGTCAGCGAATGGTTCAATGTGTCCAAGTGCCCAGGCAGGCAGGCAGGCAGGCAGTGAACAGCCGAGGGGGACGTGCCAGCTTTGTTGTGGGAGTCTCTCTGCTGCCCGTCATCCGTCCATCCATCCGCTCGTGTATGTATTGTATGGATATGTGTCATACATGTATGCCAGCCATGCACGCAACGAACAAACGTGTGTAGTGTAGGCAAACGAGTTAGTCAGTCAGTCGTGCATGGCATGGCATGGCATGGCATGGACCTCTGTCTGTCTGTATGTATCAACGCATGGATGGATGGATGGATATGACAACTCATATGAGTATCAACGGGCACTGTTGTCGTCAACTGTAGCTGTCTCTCGCAAGTCATCGGTACTTTGCGGTTAACACCTGACCGACCCACGCCGACATGACCCAGCCGACCACGCCACAACACAACACACCGCGTCCAGCCAGTGACTGAGCTAGCTAGCTGTCTGCAGTGAGTGCATTGAGGCGCTGTGATCTGTCAGCGATGGACAGAAAGGGGGCTGATGCGCCACGAGGGACGCCCGGCGACGATGACTGCACCAGCTGGTCGATGGCATCCAAACGCACTTGCCTGATACCAACAAGACACACACACGTGTGGTGGCCTGCCTGCCGTCCTCACTTTGCCTGCAAGGCCCTCGCTGACAGAGTGGGTTGCTTACAGGGTGCTCTTCTCCTCTGATCTTTTCTTGACCGACCCCATGTGAGCAATTCGTCTCGATGCCGCCGCAGATATCTGGAGCGGCATTGCCTGCAGTGTGTAAGGCGCCGACACACACACACATATACGTACATGCACACGCAATCATATGTCCTTCCAGAGTGCTGTGGGTGTCCTACCCTGCTGCCGAAGCACCTCATGGACTCCTGCATCTCCTTGTTGTGCTTGAACGCCCACCGAGACAACTCATTTCTAAGCACACACACACACACACACAGACCGAGATGCACGAGTGAGAGACACGTGTCTCACTGTAGGAACGGGGAGGGGCTGGCGTGAGTGGCCAATGGATCAAATCAATCAGTTATTTGAATGGCGGACTGACCTGCATTCCCAGTAGAGGTCAACGATCTCCATTTTGCAGGCCAGCCTCCTCTTGACGACCTCCAGGTCATTCCCAATCAGAGAAGGCTCCGAGTCCATCGCCAACAAATCCGATGGCGTCTCCCCAGCCAAATGGCCCATACCCCCCGGCAGCGGCATGCCATAGGGGAACGGAGGGGCAGCAGGGCGGGACACCACCCCTCTCCTGCCAATCGCCCCCCTCTCCCTCCCACTCCCCCGACTCAGCAAACTACTGAGCACAGCACCGGTGCCCCGATCCTTGGGCGGCGGGCGGGCCTTCCGCCCCCTCTCACCTCGTGTGCGATGAGGGGGCTGTGTGGATGGAGGGTGGGGGATCGGGGGGAGGCCGTCGGGCACACTCGACGCATTCGGTGCGCCCTTGGTGGTGCCCCTTGCTGCCCTCAAGTCGACGGATGAACGCACCCGCCGGCTGTCGGCCGTCGCCCTGGCCTCGCTACGGGTGGCTGCTGCCGTATGGCCAGCTGCCGCCGATGTGGCCATTCTGGGTGCCCTTGTCTTCTTCTCTGGCTGCTTCTGAGAAGCGGCCGGAAGGCTGCCTGCGGCAGTCGCATCACGACTCAGTGGCGCACCCCCTCTCCGCAGCGCTGGCAACACGACGGGGGGGCGGGGCGGCTGATCAGACTTCTTCTCGTCGTTGATGCTCTGTGTCTCGTGGTGAGAGTCTTGTCCGTCCATGTGCGGTGCCGTGAGGTCGAATCTGGATGAAGATGTTTTGACGTTGGGCCGGTTGGATGGCCTCCGCTGATGCAGAGTGGACCTGTGGATGGCCGCCTGGAAGCCACCCATCCGCCGCCGCGCCTCCAATGGGATGTCCCCCACGTCGTCCTCCTCGATATCAGCACCACCCGTATGGACAGCAGCAGCTGTCATCATCTTGTCTCCATCGACATCCTCGACATCCTCCGGCACAAGTTGTGAGAAGGCCTCGGGAGCAGCAGCTGCCACGGGCGGCAGAGACACCGCTGAATCACCCACGGACGCAGCTGCTCGCATCATCGGTGAGGCCTCTGTTGCGCGGCTATCAGCCACGGCCGGTGTGATGTCCGCCGTTCGCCCATCGTCTATCTCTTGCAAGCGGCCATCAGCGGCCGCAAGTTCCTGCCTCTGTGACTCATAGGGCATTTCCTCCTCTTGCTTCCTTGGAGCTGTGATGAAGGTGCTGTCGGTCTCCAGGCCGCTCTGGCTGCCAATGTGCGGAGGGGATGGGGGGAGTAGCGGCTCGTCCTTCTGTCTCGCCCCTGCCACAGCACTATCCTCTTCATGAGTCTCACAGGCTGCCATTGACGCTTTTGCTGCCGACATCCTGGGCTCGACACCGGAGAGGGAAGGTGGCTCTGCAGGGCCCTCAGCGGGTGTGGACGTCTGGACAGGCGAGGGTCCGCCCTCCAGGTGGTCGTCCATCAACTGCCTGCCTCTGTCTTGCAGTGGCAGTGTTTTTTGCTGCTTGGGCGGCGCAGGTTTGACCTGGAATGGCGTCGGGGCTGATGAGTCTGTCCTGGTCACTGCAAACCGCTTGACCTTGTCGGATGCCCGAGGAGGGGCCGGCAGGGCGGCCTTGGCGGGGTAGTCTCCTCCCACACTGAGGGCCTGCAGGTGGGCTCTATGGTGGTGGGCGATGAAGTCGTCAAAGGCATCCCCACCTGACGAAAGCAACACACACACAAAGCCGCGGGCGGCAGAAGGATGAGGTGTGTGCGGACGGAATCGCGTTTTCTGTTAGCTGCGTGCCCAGTTCGTGTATGTTGGTGAGGGGGTCGATGCGGGTCCGCATGGACTGCAGCAGCCCATCGGACGGCTGAAAGGGGCGAAACGTCATCGGAGGCCCCCCTCTTGCGTTTTGTCTCCCCTGGAGCTAAGCTCGCATTCTTCAAAGAACGTGAATCTTGTGACGAGAGGTTGTACAGATGGACTCAATCACAGCGGCGGCCAACATGGCCAAGTGTGCCAAGGAGAAGAATGAATGCATGAATGAGTGCGCGAGATCTGTTTGTTCTCTCCGTGTGTGATGTGCAGCACCATCATCGGGAGTGGCATTCTTGGCCTTAGTGCATGTGCAGACGCGGGGGGTGTGCTTCTCTATTCGGTGTTCTTGGTGGCAGCGTGTCTTTCCACAATCACCGGTAACAAACCTATGGCGGCATCCTCAATGCCCCCGTCCATCTGTCTGTCTGTCTGTCTGTGTTGTCTTTGCTTGGTGTGGACGACGTCTGGACAGGTGTGCTGTTTCTTGTTGGCGCGTCAGAGATGTCGTCATCGGCCAAGTCCTATGAGTCCCTCGCATCGACCGCCATGGGGCCGACAGGCGTCTTAATTACCACTGCAGCCGTCCTGGTGCAGTGCCTGGGAGCAATGACCAGGTACCAGTACGGGTGTGATCAACCAACCAGCCCTCACACACTGATGAATGCCTTCAAGTGTTACGTCCGTGCTTGTGTGTCTGGTGTCTTTCTTCAGCTACCTGATGATACTGTGTGATGTGGGCCCGCAGATAATCGGCACAGTGTCCCCCGTCCGCATCGAGTCCTCTGTCCTCCTCTGTGTGTTTATCATCTTGCTGTGGTTCCTCTGCTGTCTGAGGGATCTTCGCAGCCTCCGCGGGGTCAGTCTGTTCGCTGTGGGTGTCTACATGGCCTTCTCTATCACAACGGTCATCTATGCCATAGGCGGCTTCACTGAGCAGGTCGACGACAAGCCGCCGGTGGAGTGGGTCAAGTTCTCCCCCGACGTGATAGTGCGGTTCCCCACCTGCCTCTTCGCCTTCAACTGCGCGACGGTGGTGCTGCCCATCTACTCACAGCTGCGGGAGCCCTCCATCAAGACCATGCGGACAGTGGCCGGGCTGGCCTATGGGTTTGTCTTTGTCGTGTATTTCTGCTCCTCCATCGCCGGCTACATGACCTTCCGCGGACAAGTCAAGTCGAACCTGCTGGACAACTACAGCCAAGACAGCCAATGGCTGAACGTCATGCGGCTGCTCATGACAGTAAGACGACAGACACCGAAGACATGATGGGCAGGGCAGGGCAGGCAGCGACGCGCTTGAATGACTCGACCGCCAGCCGTCACGAATATATGTGCTGATTCTGTCATGTTGTGTCTGTTGGTCAGGTGGTAAGAAAAATGAGAGACACTGAAAGTGTTTCCTGCCTGCCTGGACGCCTGCACACCTGCACGCCCGTCGGGCGGATGTGTGGACGTAGGCCACGATATTCAGCTACCCATTCTCGTGCGTGGGTAAGTAAGCACTTCAGGCACACGTACGCACATCAGTGGATGATTAGATTGCGTGGGTAGATGTAATGAATGTACTGTTCACTCATCTCATCCCTCTGTATGTATGTATGTTTACTCATCTCATCCCTCTGTATGTATGTATGGGTATTGGGTGTCTGTCTGCAGGTGCCCGCCAAGCGTTGGCGTACGTGTTGTTTCGGCCCGACAAGCCCGGCCCCCTGCCCTTCCATCAGCACGTGGGGCTGAGCACATTCATTGTCCTCTTCACTGCGACATGTGCAATGAAGATTCCCGACCTCAAGTAAGACAGACACACAGACAGACAGCCGCAGGCATATTGTGTGTGTGTGTCAGGTATGCATTTGGCATCACGGGTAGCACCGCCACCGTGCTGGTGGCCTACCTCCTGCCGTCCCTCTTCCACCTCATCATGACTTACAGAGATACACTGCCCGCTGCCAAGAACACACGGTGAGTATCCACCCAGCGAGCAGAGAGAGGACCACATGTGCGCTGATCCTGGCGCCTGGCTGGGTGCGTGGCTGTTTGCAGCAGCTACGGGTCTGTGACGCTGCAGAAAGAGACAAGGGCAGGAGCATTTCTCGGCCGCGACATCGGCAATGTGTTGATGATAGGCGTGTCCTGTGTGGTTATGGCAGTGGCCTTGACCACCAACATCACTGTTCTCATGCAGGGACGCGACAGCTGACTGACTGACAGACAGACAGGTGTACTGAGCTGAGTGTGTCGACAGTGGTCGACGTTCTGCCTGCGACTGACTGCAGTAAGAGTGCAGTTTTTTTCGCTCATGCAGCTAGCTGGGTGAGGTTGGTGATGGATGCGATTATGATGCATATGTGATGCGAGTGAACTCTCTTAAGAGCCAGCTGGTTCATATGTACATCTACAGTACACTTTGATGGGGATGCAATTAATGCACCTCACGAATGATCACAGCTCGCAAACAACAAAGTGGCGAAGGGTTCGCTCCAGTTCCCGATGTTGCACGGCACGCGGCTCAAGAAGACCGCAGACCACACACAGCAGCCTCACGACCCACAGCGAGAAAAGTGCCCAAACCCATCGTCCCTCCAGTGCAATGTGAGGCTACTCACGGATGCGATAGAGGCGGTGCTTCGGAGCCGACTGGTCAACGCCCTCTGGCGCCTGAGGGACTATGCCCAAATCCTCCGCCTCTCTGCACTGGCCAATGCCTTCCAGCCATCCACACAGCAGCCGCACCTGCCATCCCAGCCCGGCCCGCCCGCTGTCATGGGAAGGGGCCAGTGGTGGGCCACCATGCTCCTCATATTCCGACGCAAGCAGCTCGAGAGGATGGAACGGGCCTTGTCCAAGCCACTGTTGGGCGGGGCCCTCCGGGCCTGGCGGAGTGCCACGTTGCTGGGGGATTCTGGGGCGGTGGAGTCGGCCAGTGCAAAGAGGAGGGCTGCCAGGCGACTGACACGCTCACTTCATGGTAGGGGGGAGGAGCAAGGGAGAAAGGAACCACACACCATTCGCTTTCCGCCTGGTTGACTCACTGCAGCTGCTTATGTTCGGCGAGTCGTGTACGGGGTTCTGCGCCTCAAAGGCGACTACCAGACACTATTGGTGATCGCTACAGCCAGCCAGCATACAGACAGACAGAGACCATCCATCCATTAGTGAATCACTAACTCACTCCATGGCATGGGTCTTTCTTGTCGTCTGTGTATGTGTGTTTGTCCCTCCCTCCCCCCCTTAGCTGTGTGAGGGGGACCTGGAGGGCTCCTGCATCAGACGCGAGATACAGGTGCAGACAGACAGACACATACATACATCATGTGCCCCGGCAGGCACACACACACACACATACACACATATTCTCCATCCATCCAGAGAGGGAGCCCCTCCCTATCTCTCCTCTCCTTGTGTGTGGCATGTGTGTGCAGCTGGAGCGTTTCTGCGCCCGTTGGCGTCGTGAGTTGGTGCGGTATGTCTTCAAGGAGTGGAGGAACGCTGTCACCAGAGACCTCATGGCACAACACATCAGGTGGGCGAGGTGACAAGCCAGGCAGACAGACATGCAAACACAATGGGACAACAGGTCTGAGCTGTTCGTCACGTTTCGTGTGTGTACGTGTTCGTGTGTGCAGTGAGGGCAGTGCGCGTCAGCTGGCCACCCTGGTGAGGGGTGCGGCGATGCGTCGCTTGGACGCGGCATTCGCCAAGCTGAGGACCAATCGTCGTGCAGTGCACCCTGCCCTCGACCGCGCCATCCGCTGGTGCAAGGAGAGGGGAGTGCCCCCCCTGCCCCTCTCTTCTCACCAGCCGCCCTTTGCAGCCTCCCCCATCCCACCCTCTGGTCCGTCGGCCACCCTCACCGGGCGTCCCATCCCGGCGCTGCTGGTGAGGGGCCGCCAAGCCGCCGCATCGGCCGACGCAGCATTTGTAGAGCGGATAGTGCGGACGCGGCGGGAGGTGGAGGAGGCCATCGCACTCACACGGGTCTTCTTCTCGGCACTCACACACAACAGAGGGTTCCTCAAACAACTCATCAGCCACACACACGCACGACAACAACAGGATACCCGAGATGCTCAACCTCCAACCCAGCCGAGTGCCGCTGGCCGTGTGTCGGGGGCTGAACCACTGTCGTCTCATTACCCGCCGGTGATGGCGGCTGTCCGTCGGGGCGGCGTGGGGATGGGGGGCATTCTCAGCCCCACTCGCACACGGCAGGCCGCAGCCATTGCAATGTCACGGCAGCAGGCGGCATCGCCTGCTGACGGTGGTGGTGTCGTCAAGGCATCGTATACGGACAAGTTGTGGCGGTGGGTGCTGCTGCGTCGCATTGTGGAGCGGAAGATGAGGGACGACATGGCGCGGGGCTGGGCCGCCTGGAAGAGGATGCACGGCCCACACACACCCACACCTGTAAGTAAGAGGGCTGGCTGGCGGAACCAGTAGAAGTGCTCAATTTCGTGTGTCCTTGTTCGTTTTGTGGCTGGGCTGGCTGTGTGTACTGCAGGTGGGTCTAGCAGGTATTGATGAGGTGTCTAGCTTGCAGCTACAGACGAGCGCCAGGCAGACCAATGAGATGCTCATGGCACTCGTATTCGCCACATGGCACACTGCAGCAACACACAAGAGGTCCGTAGGTCCGCGGACCCGACACACGTGCACACACCCACAGATGATGATGCACATACAAACAGGGGACGTAGACTGACTGTACGTGTATCTTCTCCCTGCCTCCCTGCCTGCGTGTGGATGTGTGGTGTGCAGGGAGCGGCGTCGTTTGTCTGCTTCCCGTCTGGCGTCCTCTCTGCGGGCCGTCCACCAGTCGCCCCTGCGGCTGACATTCGCCACACTCAGGTCCAGCGCGATGGCATCATCCGCTGGCGGTGGCAGCCGAGACGACAAACGCCACGCCGCCAACCGCATCCTCCGATGGGCCGCCAGGCGCCAGGCCAGACTGCTCAAGGGTGCGCTTATGGCGATGAGTGGCACGGTGGCCATCCCGCCGCAGCAGCAGGCAGCGGCAGCACTCGCCAGGGCCGTGTGCCGTGTGCAGCTGGTGAGGGTGAGTAGGGCGATGGAAAAGTGGAAGGGCCATGTGTTGGTGCGGCGGAGCATCCACATGGTGCCCTCCCTGTGGACGAGGGACCGGGCCACAGGGGCGGCGGTCGACATACGGCCACTCACCGCAGGCACCGATGTCCTCATCAAGTACAACTCGCGAGACGGCAAGAGAGTTAGGCGGGTCTTCCAGGTATCTATCATCGACACGCACATACACCACACCCGATAGCGGCTGTGCTGTGTGAATTAATGTCCCTCTCTCCCTCTCTCCATCCCTCTGTCTCTGGTATGTTAGGTGTTGCGCGATGGTTGGCTGTGTTGGAGTGACAGGACTGCCAGGGAGCCCACGAGCGCCTCGAGGCACCGCATCGACCTGGCGCAGTGTGTGACGGTCCTCCACACATTCACAATGAGGGCCCAGCGGCTGCCCACCGACCCCTCATCACTCTGCTTCGTCGTGGTGGCCGCCAACCGCACACTCGACCTCTGCGCACAAAACGAGCAGCAGCTCGTGACCTGGGTCACTGGTAAGCAAACAGAAAAGAACCTGCATGGCTGCCTTCCCCGCCTATATAATGGATGCATATGATTGTTTGTATGTCCGTCGTCTTAGGTCTTCAATCGCTGATCCATTACTTTTCCCGTCTGCTCAAGGTGCCGTCGGTCGATGTCCGCGGCAAGGCATCCCGCGCATCCACCACCCCACGCGCCAGCTCCCCCTCCCCCCGGCCCCCCGGGCTGCCCCCCCTGCCGCCACGCATCGCGCCACCACCCAAGCGAGCCGTCCCCGTCCATCTGCCCCGCGGCACCCTGCTGTATCGTAAGGTCCGTCGGCAGCTGCATGACAGGGCGACGGCGGATGGCAAGACCATGCGGCAGATGTGGCGGGAGGCCATCGCAGCGGCCGCATCGATGCAGCAGCAGCAGCAGAGGCGCAGTGGCACACAAAGGGCTGGAGGGAGCAAGACAGTGCAGCAGGGCAAAAGGGAGGGGGTCAAGCCGAGGACGCCCAGGAAGAAATGAGTGAATGAATGACACACATGCATTGATTGCATGCGTACCCTCCCCACACATGTATGTGACGGAGATAGACAAACAGACGTATGTAGCTGACGCTGACATACACGACATGTATGTATGCCGGATGGACCCTACTCGCATGGATGGACCCCATTGCATGGTATGGCCATTGCAGTGTGTCTTGTAAATGTCTGGTCGCGGAGGTCAGGATGATGACGAGTGTGGATATGGATTTGCCGTTGTATCTGCAGCTGGCATATCTGTCGCGGGACGGGCGGGAGGAGGAAGCCGTCGAGTGAGGCAGGCACACCACACCGCACATACATAGATCTGGCTGGGCTGCACTCTATCTGCAGCCAGGCTGAGAGGAGGGATAGATGCAGGCATCGATGGATGGCGGATGCGCTGCTCTTCATGTAGATCTGTTGTGCTGTGTGCGTGTGTGGTCATCAGGCTGCTCCGTTCGGCGCCTGACGGCGATGCTGTGCTGCCCTTTGACTTATTTGACACCAAACAATCGGCACTGCACTTCGGTCAGACACCACAGGGCATCCACACGTGTGCACACAGCCACGTGGCCCAATCATCTGCTGACTGAACGTGTTGTGTGTGCAGGTTTGTTGCATCAGCAGGAGGCACTGGTGTATAGTTTGTTCCGCGCCTTGCTGGTCCACGGCCTGACGCCCTCCCTGGCGGCGAGTGTGGTGCACCATGCACTCAGCTGCCTCAACCTGAAAGCTGTCGGCATCTTCCAGGAGGCCACAAACATACACTCACTCGCACTAAGAGTAGGTAACCCATGCCATCCATCCGCACATCAAGCACGCTGCTCCCGTGTGTGTGTGTGCTGCATCCTCCCTCCCTCGCTCCCTCCCTGCCTGATGTATGTGTCCACAGCCGTCGTTTGACCACGAGCCGACGATGATGTGTGTGTTCGCGGCGGAGACCGACGATGACAACCCCAACGGACCCACTGCTGTCATGGAATACGTACGCAATCAACCAACGCATGGCATGGCATGCACACAGCCACAAGCAGGATGGATGGTGTTCTGCTTGGGGTGTGCTCTCGTTGTGGTGTCATGTGTGCAGCTGTGGCTGGCCGGTGCGTCACTGGAAGAGAAAGACCGAATGGTATGTATGGTCAGCCACCCTCCTGTCTGTCTGTCTGTCTGTCCGGCCACGTGTGTCCTTCGCTATTGGGTGGTTGGTTGTATGTATGTGTTGGTCACACAGGGCCGTACGCCGTTGATGGTTGCGGCAATGAGGGGCAACGTGCGTCAGGTGCAGTGGGCCATCGCCAGAGGCGCATACATGGGCGCCAGAGACTTCCTCGGTCAGTCAGGCCATGCATCACGTGACATGACGTGACGTACGGGATGTGGCCCCTTGAAGT